GCGACCCGGCCTCGGATAAAGCGGATAAAGCGGATGAAGATGGATGGATGGATGGATGGATGGATGGTGCCATCTTGTGACAGTACAGAACGTTACTGCTATTACAGATGGATTTTCATGTTTCAGTGAAGCTGAACATATGCTAACTATGCAGTTAAACAAAAGCTGATAGTTGAACATATTGTGTTTTGTTATAGTGAGGGCTCTTTAAACATTAGAAATATATTTGGAAAATGAACATGTCAATCAGAAACCACCAATTTATTGCATCAGTTTTATATGGTAGATTTTTACTGATAATTTTATTTTTAACCTTATCTTCTTCCTCATCTTCTTCTTCACTGCTTTCTACTTCATCCAAGTCCTCCTCCAAAGCGCTAATCCTTGGGTCCAGCATCTCAGCCTCCTCCAGCACTTGCCTCTTCTGTAATACACGCATAAAAAACAGAAAAGTCAATGACATTGGCACGTCAAACAGGTCAGATATACAAAAATGACACTAACACACCTGAAGCCGAGGAAGGATGACGTCACACATTCTCTCTGCGTGAAGAAGCCCGTCGATGAACTCGTCCACATGCATCACCTCAAACTCTGTAATAATTTACAAATAAAAAATAAAAAATTACGCATTTGTCCTGGTTCGAACACATCCACTTTGAAGACAAAATGTTTACTTGCTACCTCACATATCCCACCCACTAACAAGTGTCACAATGACGAAAAAATCAGTGTCTCATTGAATGATCGGTGCCTGATTGGTGTACATATACATGCACAGCGCCTACAAATATAAACAACCACCCAATGTAAGGTTTTTGCCAACGTTGTCCTAAATTGCAAAGTTTAATCCACTACTATGTGCAAGTGCTTTGTATGGAAGAGGATTAGGGCCACTGGGGGGAAAAAAGTGGGCATGTCCTTTTTTTTTCTTCTTCTTTTCCAGAATTCTGAGAAAAAAAGTCAAAATTCTTTATTTGCAATCGTAAAACAGAATCAATACCGTCAATGAATTTAAAAAAAATTACTGTTTTAACAAAAAGAAGAGAAAAACAATAGTCAAGTAAAACAGATATTTTTTTATTAAGATGTCAAATTACATTTTACTGTAATTTATTTATTTATATTCTTTAGTGGGTGAAAGTTATGCTTGATGAATTCCTCACTTCTCTGGACTGTGCTGTCTCAAGTTTCGGTATAAAATAACATAAATTGAATAAATGTATAATAAAACATATAAAAATTGAGTTAGAAAAACATAATTCAGGTTTATTATATTACAATTCTGTACAAGCTCTTGACAAGTTACAAGGTTAAATTACTTTAATTATTGTTAATCTAAAATGTTAACCAGTAGTTTCATACTTAAACACCTATGCCACTTTTGTGCTCACCTTTGACTCATGCTGTCAGAAATAATAATAATAATAATGGATTGGATTTATATAGCGCTTTTCAAGGCACCCAAAGCGCTTTACAATTCCACTATTCATTCACTCTCACATTCATACTGCTACACTGTAATGCTCCTAGTGCTGGGGCCTTGTTTCAATAAGATTCACACTTCAAATTAGGAAGTTTATTAGTGACATTAGCTCATGTGAAAAGATGGAGAATGCATTTCATGCACTTACATTGTACATTGCAAGTACTGCTGATTGCAAGCAGCGAGCAAATAATAAAATGTTTAGTATTTTTCTTTTATATGTCAGAAATGTCATTATTGCAAATTTTCTTGAAATATTGCGATATCATTCACCTCCCTCCAACACCAGTTAGAGTCCAGTCATTTATAGATTAACTTGTCAAACTCACCTCCATTTCTGTTCTGGCTCTTAATCTTTCTGTAGTCATTGTACAAAGGCTCCAAGTATTTGTAGCAATCCACTGCAGTTCCAGTTAACCTCATGTACATCGCTCCAAGTAAACGCACATATCTAAAAAAAGAAAAAAAGAAAAAAAATGAGCACGAACATGTCATACCTCATCTATGCGTTACACACATAAAAATATATTCTTAATCAATCCAGCACGAAATGTGCTACACACGCTGCTGACTGCCAACAACAGTTTACCAAACTGCTGTGCTGTGTGATCACATTCAGGCACAAAGACATTTAAAAACACATAAAACAGTACTTAAACAATTTACAGAGCTTTTTATTAATAACAATTTTACAAAATAGCAGAAACATATTTTCCTTACCTAATCATTATCAATAAAGTATTCAACAAATACACAGCCATGTGACAGCAGCAAAGTAAACCGAGGAAAATAGGTTTCACTCATACAAATTAACTGAAGAAATGTACAAATATCTCAGCCCCGCTATCATATAGCCCGACGGGCGGGGCTGAGATAGATTTTGGTCGCCCGACCGGAGATATCGCTAGCCCCGGGACGTCGGGCTAGCGATTTTGAGAGCCCTGGTGATTCATCACATTTGTGTTTGAGTTCATCATTCGATTTGTAAACACAAAAGCTTAAAAAGTTTTGAAGAAATTCAGATAAAACTCAAGGGTCATAATAATCTATTACAATTTGGCTTACATCCACCAAGATCAACTGAACAAAAAGTTAAGTTATGATTCTTACAAGTGTGTATTTTGAACATTAAAAAAGTACCATATAAAGGTTAAAAACCTTGTCACATTTGACCTCTGACCTCTCCTTCAAGGTCAATAGACTGATCTGAAGTTTCGAGTGATAATGCTGCTATAAAGAGCAATTTAAAATGCCATTCTCAATGCCACTGTTTGCACTGATAACATACAGCCATATAAGAAATCATATATGGGTATTCTAAATATCATGCAACTTTTTCTTAAGGTCAAATGTTCATAAAGGTCTTATCTTTACAACTATGCTACAACCTTAGCTAAGCAAAATAGTGGGAATGTGCCTAAAAGTGTCACGAGTTTGAGTGAATTCTATACACTGTGAACTTGGTTGAGAAAATTAACACAACATAAGTGTTTACTCCTTTTCTCTCTGCAGAAAACTCACTTGAAATCCTCGTTTTTTATGAATTCGACAATGATGTCTTTTTCAGGTTGAATCTGCAACATCTTCAGCGTGAGACAAAGGAAAGGAGTGGGTTTGATATTTCCACCAAAAACTCCACCAACATACTTAAGTTCCATGGCTTTGTCGACAACCAGCTCAGCTGAGGATGAAACAACATGCAAAAGCATTGTTAACAAAAAACTATAAATACAAATTGCATTGTATACAATTGTTGCCTGCAAATGCACCTGCATACATGTTTCCAATTAGACAATGAACAGAGGTATACAGACTTGTACAGATTAGAAGTTTACAGTTTTACTACTATTTTACTACCAGTACCATTTCAGAACTGGGGAGTGATGTCCCTCACATATTAGCATATTAGCACTCTGAGTCAATTACTGTGGTATCCAACTATCAGAGAAGGAGATGAAGAAAGATGAAGAAAGGAATGCCTAAGTAGTACAACAAGCTGTGTCCTGGATTGTTGATTGCCTGACAGAAAGACCACAATATGTGCGTTTTAACATTGTGTGTTTGACAAGATCATCAGCAACACTTAGGCACCAGAAGGGACCGTCCTCATGCGATGCAAGCAGAAACATCTGCAGCTCAACAGGACAAAGACCAAGGAATTGACTGTGGACTTTAGGAGGACCTGGAAACCAATGACTCCCACTGACTTGGTAAAAAACACTGTACAGGAAGGGCCAGAACAGTCTCTAATTTCTGAGGTAGGTGAGGTCTTTTAACATTTATTCCTTTTGCTGGAATGCACCAAATTGGGAGTGACATCACTTTTTCAATATTAATGCAATTTCATTAACACAAAATTTTACACCATTTCAATTGCAATCTGAAAAATGTTACGAAAGCCTTTAAATAAATATGGCCAAGAACAGTCCATGTCTCCCTTTAGACCCCTGTTTGCTGCAGGTAAGGCTGTAAAAGCTGCCATCAGCCTTTAGCAAGCTGTGTAATATAAACATGGTATGAAACCAAGTTAACAGTTCATCTGCATGTTTTAATACTACTCTTGGAGGCTTACTGCAGATTTTTCTCTGTGTAAAACAAATTTTGGTGTTTGTTGATCAGGCGCTTTGATGAAGTGCAACTGCTGTTTTTGGGCTCTAGAAACACGTTTTCTTTCCTCAGCTTCTCTGTAACAGCTAAGCCTATTTGCTCTTCCCGGTGCATGTGTAAGTGTAAACAGAGTTCAGCTCCATGTGAAACTATGCCAGTGTTATCATCACTGCTGCTATTGTGTTATCAGTGCTTCTGTATAAAACTGGGAGCCACGTGGACTTAATGTTGTCAAACTAAATATGTTTGCAGGTCTGTTTTTAGTCACAAATGTGGGTGAAACATTTGCATTTACATCGTTTAACACAACGGCATGTTACAGAACCATGTGTTGAATTTGTTTATTTTTTCTATAGCCTTTCTTCAGTAACAAACTGTTTCAACTTCTGCAATCAGGCAGGTTTCGCACTATCAGGACAAAAACAGAGATACTCAAGAGGAGCTTCTATCCTCAGGCCATCCAAGGCTTAAATCAGAACATGCCCCCGCTCCCCTCATAGCATCACCATAAGGGTCTAGAACAGGACCTTATTTTATACTCTTGTCATATTTCATATCGTATCTGATTTATTATTACGGCACACGCTGCTACACAGATCATGCTGCTTACCTACTGCTTATATTACTCTGGTCACTGTTGTACTCCAGTCACTGTTTACATTACACTAAATAGCTATAGCCACTCAGTTCAATTACTGTGATTACGTTACTTAATTTTGTTTATTCTACTTCCATTGCACGGTCAGGACATTGCTGTGCTAATATGGTACAAAACACTTTAATATTCCATTTGCAAAATGTACATATTCAGTTTTTTTATTTAAAATTTCCGATTTCTAATTTAAAGTTACTTATTGTTTATAATATTTTGCACAGTCAAGGAGCAGTTCAGGACACATCTTAATGTGTGTTGTACTTGTATAACTGTGTCTTGAATCTTTAGCCTAAAATAAAATAATTTCTGTTGCCTAAAAATATCTCTCTATCTATCTCCCCAAGAATATAACTGAGCCCGCTTAATGTCGATAGTAACCCGCTTGCTAAAATGAGCCCTCATGAAGCTAACGTTAGCTCACTGGTGACACTACTAACCGGTGAGACCGAAGCATTCCTCCTTCCAGTACTTAGACTCGTAGATTCGTGTGCGGATGATTTTCTCCACCAGATACTGCGGGTTAGTCCCGTGTATACTGTTAGCGTCTTTAACGGTTCTGTTTGCCATGATACTACTATTCTGGCATGGAGAAAATGAACAAAAAAAAAGAAAACCTTAGACGCCAAACCGGAAAGAGTAAATATTATTTCCGGTTCGACTTCTTCTTCTTCTTCCTTCCGCTTCTTCTTGTTGGCAAACAGCGAAACGGTGCATTACCGCCGCCAGCTGGTATGGCGTGTGGACAAAAATGACACACACACAAAGAAAAAACGACACTCAAATTCATCCATCCATTCGCTTCCGCTTGTCCTTTTCAGGGTCGCGGGGGGTGCTAGCAACACTGTTGAGGATTTATTCAAAACTGAAAAGACACTGAACCAGAGCTAACGCAGCATCCTGCAGCGACATGCCATCCCATCCGGTTTGCGTTTAGTTGGACCATTATTTATTTTTCAACAGGACAATGACCCCAAACACACCTCCACGCTGTGTAAGGGCTATTAGACCAAGAAGTAAAGTGATGGAGTGCTGCGCCAGATGGCCTGACCTCCTCAGTCACCTGACCTAAACCCAATCGAGATGTTTTGGGATGAGATGGCAGAGTGAAGGGAAAGGGGCCAACAAGTGCTCAGCATCTCTGTGAACTCCTCCAAGACTGTTGGAAAAAAATTTCAGGTGACTACCTCATGAAGCTCATCCAGACAATTCCAAGAGTGTGTAAAGCAGTAATCGAAGCAAAGGGTAGCTATTTTGAAGAATCTAAATATAACAAATATAAAATATAAAACATGTTTTGAGTTATTTCACACTTTTTGTTTACTACATAATTTGATATGTGTTCATTCACGGTTTTAATACCTTCAGTGAGAATCTACAATGTAAAGAGTCACACATACTATTATGTCCATGTTATAGCACATAGAGTGAAGCGTCTGTCTCAAAATGTTAACTAAACGTTTCTAACTTTTGTTGAAAATGTGATTTATGTAATGCTGACCAGGTCATTTCAAGTATGCGGCTTGTTTTGTGACACTGTTGACCTAATGTGATTAAATTATAAATATGTCGGGTTAAACAGCTGAGAGCACCTTGAGCACAGCATAGAAAAAGTTGTGCATTGAAGATGATTCTGAACCATGGAGTGTTCATCAGAACAAGCACTTTGGTCCTCATTGTCTTTGAAAAGCTAGAGCTGGCAAAACAAGGCCAGTAAACACATTTTTATCTGTAGGTTTGGTATAGTAATCTGTCTTAATTACATTTTTATTTTTATTTATTCATTATATGGGGGGAAAGTCCTGTCAGCCTTGTGCTCAGAGGGCTGCAGTCACCCATCTGTCCTGTTCTAATAAACACCTTCTTTAGATCTGTTCAGTTTTATTCATATGGCACTACTTAACAGTCAACAAATCTTGTCTTAAGTCACTTTATACTGTAAAGTGTTCATTTAGGACAAAGTATACTGCAAATCTACAGAATTGTCCGTTTTGCCATTTAGTGAACTTCCGTAAAAAACAAAACAAAAAAACCCAGAAAATGTTCAGGCATGAATTTACCAGGACATTTGAAGAGCAAAGCAGAAAGTCACAGCAAGTTCATGCCTGGTGTCCTGACGCAACCCCGAAGGGCTGGAGTAATCAGCAGGGGGCAGCATGACGCCAGTGTTGGATCCTCAAGACACGAAAAAGAAAACCGGAAACTACGCATTTTTCGCGCGAAATCTCGTTGCTGTCCTGTATTGTATTTTCAGTAGATTAACTCAGAGAATCGGGCAGATCGGTTTCGCGGTGTGGAGAAGGTTACTTTGTTTTTTGTTGTTGTGATTTTGTCCTCTGTGTGAGCTGAAAGAGACGAAACAGGATGAAATATTTCACTCGAATGAAAATCAGACGAGTATATGAGTGGAGTGGAAGGGCACGAAGCTTCAACAGGAGGCTAAAAACCCACGACTATGAGTGAGTGATTATTTTTCCACCTTAAAAAATGGCTTTTTATGCTCCGTCTTTTCAGTGTGATGGTTAAAAATGTTTCTGTTGGAATAATTAAGGGAGATAAGAGTCCTGCGGATGAATTAAGTAGAATGACAAACTATCAAACAACAACTATGTGATAATCATTTAAGGCAGTGGTGGGCCGCGTGATTGTGCTCTTTTGTTGTCCCTAGCCCTCGATCCCTGGGGCTGGGGGCAACAATTGTCTGTTTATTTTAAAGAAGGGAAAGTCTAGCGCTCTTTGATCTTATTCTTCACTTTATGTTGTCGGCCTTTGCCTTTGATGTGGTTACAAAAATGTCAAAGTTACCAAAGTCGACACTCATACAAAGTTAACATATAATTTACTGCCATAGTTTGTTTTATTGACTTGTTGCTAGCAGTTTGTCCACAGCATTGAACTCTCCCAGGTACAAAGATGGTAACTGTGTTGTGGACATCACAGCTCTAATCTGGGCTCATGGGTGGAGTCGGTTTTAATGCAGTCTACCATGTTACTGTTTGCCTGGAGGGGGGCGCAGTTTTAGTGATGGGTTGATGACGCCTCGTGGAATGTGTGCCACATTGGCTTTACTGTGTGTTTTTTTTTTTACTGTTTGTGGACTTTAAATCCACACCGGTGTTGTGACCAGATGGAAGTACTCTACCCTTCTTTCCATAGAAATCTAGAAGAACTGTTAAAGTGTATTTTCAGAAGTTTGTTAGTTATGTTTTGGTGCTTTGAAATGACCCTCCAAAAGTTGATTCTGTTCATCTGGACGTAGCGTTTTGTTGGAGAAACGTTTCGTCACTCATCCAAGTGACTTCTTCAGTCTCAGCTGACTGCAGGTTTCCCCAATCTTATAAACAGTACATTTGCATAATGACTGAAACCAGCCCATTGAAGGAACAATGGATTGGGAGGTCAGTTCCTTAATCATAATTATGCAAATTCTCATGACCATTGATCAACAACCACTGATCAAAACCCACTGATCAATAGCCATGAGTACCATTCACAGAGAGTTGGGGAATGGCTGCGATCACAGCATTGTAAGATGGTGAAAGATGTAACCTTAGGCCCCCTCCTCGATTCAGAGATGGTCTTTCCCTTTTCACGTAAATGGCCTCCTTGACTCCCTGCTCACACCAGCGTTCCTCCCTGTCCAGGATGTTACATCCTCATCATTGAAAGAGTGTCCACTAGCCTGTAGGTGTAAATAGACTGCAGAGTCCTGGCCTGACGAGGTAGCTCTTCTGTTGCCAGAGGTTGTTTGGTTTCCCTGATGTATAAATCCTGGCAATCCTCCTGGCACTTAACAGCGTACACTATGTTACTCTGTTTGTGTCGGGGGACCCGATGCTTGGGGTGGACCAATTTTTGGCGCAATCTTTATAAGATTGGGGAAACCTGCAGTCAGCTGAGACGGAAGAAGTCACTTGGATGAGTGACGAAACGTTTCTCCAACAAAACGCTACGTCCAGATGAACAGAATCAACTTTTGGAGATTTACTTTCCTGGATTACTGAGAATGCATCAAGACGTTTCAAATGACCCGTTTTGAAATTTTAACCCTAAACCAGAAATCAAATATCTGCTAGATGACAAAGGCGTTTTGACACCATTGATCAATCTGGCTGTATTTTGAGATTCCAGTTCTTGCTCCCATAATCGGTAGTTTTTGATTGTTTCTTTTCTCCCGTTTGTTTCAGCTCTTTTGCGATCAGTGTGGAGGGTCTCTCAAAAATCATCATCAACACAGGCCAACACATCCTCATAGAGGGGTATGATGAAGACAACCCATATGTGGCCAAAGTTACCAGGCTGTATGGTGATGGTGAGTCGTATTCACACAAGCTTGGAGCTGGCTCAGCTAACAAAGGACCTGACGTGTACTTTTCTCAACTGATGACAAATAACTTACGCTCTGATTTGGGACTTAACTCGAGACAGATTTGGTTCTGACCCTCAAGCTGACATGGACGTGTCTCAAGTTTGACAAACAGCTTTTTTAAATTAATTAATTGTTTTTATGAATTGACATCGACTTTGGCAACTTGAGTCCTGAGCTGGACTTGCCTTAAACGATGATACATTATTTTAGACTTGAATAACCCAAGGAGCAATCAGGGCTCGCAAAATCACTAGCCCGACGTCCCGGAGCTAGCGATATCTCCGGTCGGACGACCAAAATCTATCTCAGCCCGCCCGTCGGGCTACATGATAACCCGACGGGCGGGGCTGAGATAGATTTTGGTCGTCCGACCGGAGATATCGCTAGCTCCGGGACGTCGGGCTAGCAATTTTGCGAGCCCTGAGCAATCAAGTCCAACACAATCAGTCATTGAAGGTCTCTTGGCTATCTTAAGTCTGAGATCATATTAGTGGACACTTGAAATGGTCTTGTTTCACATAGTAATGGATTTAGAATAATTTAGAACTCGGCTTGACTTTCTTGGACTTCAGTTGGACTAAAACAACTCGAGACTAATCTCAAATGGCCTAACTTGATATTTACTCTGTTCCACTTTGAGACACTGACTTTCTTTGTCTTGTGCCTGTCTCTTCCAGAGAATGGGCAACAGATGAAGGCAGTAGTTCAGTGGTTCATGCGTGTGTCTGAATTGCCTGTCAACAAACTGAAATTGCTTGGCAGAGAGCCTCATCCGCAGGAGATCTTCTACTATGAATGTCGTAATTGTGATAATGAGGTCAACGTTGAGTCCATCCTCAGGCCTGTGAAGGTGAGCTTCATTTAAATCACAAATGCTTTAAAGTCAAATGCGAAAATGTTTAATTTCCTTCCTTTATCTCCAAGGTGAAGCACCTCGACAGCAATGACCCGTTCCCTGACTCCTCTGACAAAGATACCCTGTACGTGAAGTTGTCCTGGGACTCCAAGGTCTTCGGGGTGGTGAACTCGACCGTGATGGAGTCTCCCGCTGAGCCAGCACCTGCTTCTTCACCTCCTTCCTGTCTTAAACCCTCCCTCCCGATATCACCTTCTTGCTCCCAGTCTGCAGCCACCCCCAGAGGACCCTCTCGGCGTGTCCTACCCACACCGGACCACGCCATAATGCAGAAGGCGTCATTAGGGGAAGTTGGCTGCAGCAGTGTAGGTACACCTGCCAATGTCGAGGCTGAGTCACTTCACTCGGCCACTAAACTGTCAGCGTCAAAATGCCTCAGTGCCAA